TTAGACTTTAGCCTTATAGTTTAGGGAATTGAATTTTGGCCCGCAAGAGAAAGCAGTTTTTTTCGCTTCTTTCTTCGTTTCTGCAGAAACTGCAGCCACACCAACACCAATGCAGGCCTCCTAGACCAAACGGAGAGTGCGCTGCGCATGCGCAACTCTGTTAGAATGCAATTTTCTGTTTCGCTTCTCTTTCTAGGCGCTTGAGTGTGCGAGTGTGTCTGTGTTTGAACTTTGAAAAGTGGGTGAATGTACAGTAATGTTTGCTGCATGCTCAATTGCAATGCTGCAAGCAACAACAACTAAAACAACAAAAACAAAACGTGGCAAATTCGTGATGTTCTGTCAGGGCCAAAAGCGGCAGAAGAAAAGCCCAAAAGATAGAAGGCCACAAAAGGAAATGATTTAGGGCTTTGGGAAAATACATTCTCTCCAAAAGATAATTGAAGGGGTTAAGGAAAGATTTGAGTATTTTTTTCATTTAAAATGATAAAAATATTAAAGATTTAAGCCCTAAATCTTGGGCACTACCAAAGTAAATTCTATTTAGCAAGATTTGCAAATCCAATATCTTTGGAATTAATACTATAATAGTTCTATAAAAGGGTGGACTTACACCCATATAGTATAATATTTAAAAAGTTATATCTTAATATTTATACTTTTTACTTTAAGCATAAAAACATGATAATCAATCATTAAATGATTTTAAAATTGCAAAAGATACAACCAAATTTTGAAACAAGTGACATAATTTTTTGCTGTTGTTTTGTATTGCTTTTCAGTTAATTGTTAGTGTTATGTGTGCCATTATATTTCCCCTCATTTCACCGAGTGTGTTGGCTCTGTGTTGTTTTTGTTCGATCCGCTGGTGAAGGCCACGCTAATCTTGAACTGTTTTATAAATTGGCACACTTATGCAAAGTCAACGACTCGTCGACGCTTTTTCCCTCCCTACTCTTTCCGCAATGGCGCTGCGCCGCTTCCTCTATCCGCTGCCCGAAGTCGAGAAAAACAGTTAACTGACTTCGTCACTCGCCGCCGTAGTTGTTCGTCGGGCTTCGGGTTTGAAAGCCGAAAGCCCAGCTCTGTGTCGGTGTGACGGTGAGAGTGTGTGCGTGGCGTTGCATAACTTTCATGCCAACGCAGCCAGCATGAGCGCCACGAAAGTTCATTCGCCTCGTGCACTCCATTCGAACTGTCTCCCCCCACCGGCCCGTCCCACATCTTTGGGGCTGCTCCCACTCTGCAGCTCGCGGTCTTTCTCTTTCTACCCCGGCTCTGTCTGGCTCTCTCTCTGCTAACTGCTTCTTGGCCAAGCAGGCCAACATACAGACGAGGTCAAGATAGAAAGGACTTTAAAGAAATAAAATAATTAGTCTTTAGAAAAATTATAAACAAAAAAATGTTTAAAATTCTTGAAACTTTAAAAAGGTTTATAGTTTTAATAGTTTTTCCATTATTCTATTAACTCGACCTCATTAGTACGGTCTTGAATATCTTTGGCTTGCTTTTCTCTTTTTACTAAGCTTGGTTTTCATTTGGCCCGCAGCTTAAAAAAGTTTTCAGAGTTCCTGAGTATATTTGTGTGTTGTGTGTCTCTTGAAAAAGGAATGTTTGTTGTTTGTCAGCGACGACGTTTTTGGGTGAATGTGTTTTGGGCAGAGGCCTAACGAGTCTTGAGACGGGGCGCGGATGCCACAGAGACAAAGACAAAGTCAGAGAGGTGAGATGCTGCGATCGACGATCTGTGCAGTATGCCTGAAGAAAGGTCAGTTCTCTTACCTAACTTTGATTGCATTTTTGTTTTTCTTCGGAATTTGAGCAAACAAAAATCTACATGTGCCCATTAGGATTATTTACAAATGGATCCGGAAAACAAATATGTATGATGTTTGTTGGATACTTATTAATGATTATTCTGTTTATTAATAGACTCACTCTTAAAGCAAAAGGCTGTACAGTTTTACAAAATTTAAAAGAAAGGAAGGTTTTTTAGGAAGAATTTTTATTTTTATAAAATAGGAAAGGTATATTCTTTTAATATGTACATATATATGTATGTATGTACATACATATGTATGTTTTTATTTTTTTATTGTGTTTTTTTTTTTTTTTTTGCTTCAAATGCACGCGAGACCTGCACGAGTGGCAAAAACAATGAAAGCTTTTAATTTGCTTAGAACAATTTTCAAAGGCATGCAAGCCCACCCAAAAGGCAACAACATTAGACAACATTACAGCAAAAAAAAATAATTATTGGTTTAAAAAACTCCTCGAAATTACAGTTGTAACTCAGAAATATGATACTTATTTGTTTTCATCATATACTTCAACAAAAACTGCCAGATTTTCGTTGCAAAAACAGAAAATCTAAAATATTAAGTATACGTATTTTTTTCCAAAACTTGAAAAAGCATTTAATGATAAAAATTGTATAGATTTTTATGAAACCATCCTTTTAAATAAGTATCTATGCAATAGAAATGCTCTCATTAATTACAATAATCCATGCAGGCCATTAAAAAAGTCTAAATAACATAGATGCACTTTGTGACGCCCCCACACTAATACACACGTACCAGTGCACAAGCAAAGAGAGCGAATGAGAGAATGCGAGTGCAGCGATGGCCGCGAACTTGAACTTTTTGCGCACTCGTTAGCTTGCACATAGAAAAAATCAAGATCAAGTGTCTTCCGGCATTTGCACAGCAACAAAAACTAGAGCTTTTCGCTAAGAGAGTCATAGAGCTATGAAAAAAGAGAGCAAGCTCAGCTAAGAGAGCTTTGCAATGGCCTTTGAGTGGGCGGCTGCATAGGTATGTGTGTGTGTATGTGTATGTGTCTGTGTAGGTGCATATTTAATGGCAAGTGCATTATTTGTGTTATCTCTCTCGCTCTCTCTCTCTATGGCTATGATGTCACTTTGGCTATCAATTGGGGCAAATAAGGGTTACATTTTAGTTTCCTGGTTTCTTTTCCTGTTTAATATTTAAGATTAATTTTCAGCTAAACTTTAAAATTATGATTTAGGATTTAAGATTAATGTGGCTTGGAATAATTTTCTATTTTAAGCAATTTATTTTGTGAGAACCCATTGTTCTTAAATTGATTTATGATCGTTATTTTCAAGTCAATGATTTTGCTGAAATCTTCCATGCCATTTTCCCTTGCTGGCCGAAAACGTAGCAGACTCATTTTCACTCATTTTCGCTTGGCATTGGGAAAGCGATGCGCCTCGTCCAAGTCGGCCTATGTATGCTATATGTGAAATTCTCGGAAAAGTCGAAAACACACTAGCAGCAAGTGCAACAACAACACGTCATCGTTGCAAGCATTGAACTCGATTTTGTTTTCATTGCCGCCTGAATTTCTAAAACGCAGCTAATTAGTTGAGAGTGTTTGCGTTGTTGCTGCAGTGCAGTAGCACTAAGCAGCAGCAGTTGTTGCACTTGCAGTTGTTGCACTTGGAGCTGGCCGCTTCTTTAGCTGTGTTCCACTTTTCTGGCAGTTTTCCACTTTTCCACCAGCCAATACCAGCGACTGTAGCAGATTTCACACGCGGCCAAGCAATTCATCATAAAAATTATTGCAAACTGCCATCAATTGGAGGCACATGAAAAAAATATCCCCAATTTTCAAAAGAAATCTATAAAATAAAATAATAACTAAAATAATAACTTTTTTCAGATATCTGTTCTGGATTCTGGCTTTAAAATTTAAGTTAGTTTTTTTAAAAAAATATTTTTTCCAGTGCATAACCAGAAGAAGATGTCCAAAGCGATCGACGGGCGGGGCTTGTCGAGTAGGGAGGCGTGGAGCAGAGGGCAGCTAAAATATGTATGTTTGCTGAAAACCAAATAAAAATAAGTTTTTCCAAGTCCAAGTCCAAGCCCAGGCCGCGCCTTGTGTGTTTGTTTAAATAAAATGAAAGTTTTTTTTTGCACACTCCAGTCAATGTTTGACATACATAGAAGGCGGCAGTCCGTCAGTCAGTCACTAAGTCGCAGCCGATTGTGTTAGTGGAACGTGGCAGCAGACTTTGTTTAGTCGCGAATTACAAAAAAAAAAAACGACTTGCAACGGTCGTTGCCGTTTCGCTTTTGCTTCTCCGTTTGTGCGTTATGATTTCATTTTCTAATCGAGTTCGTCTTCATCTGAAGACTGCAGTCGATATGATTTTCTTTTGTGGCAAAGAAAAGCGATGCGCTGCAAAATAAAATCACGCATACGCCGCGTATGACGAAAGTGAAATAGACGGCAAATACCGAGAAGGCCCATAAAAAGCGTTTAGCCAAAAAACAAATCCAAGTAAAAGAGAAAGAGAAAAAGCAAGAGAGCGAAAGGCAAAGCCGAAGAAGAAAAGTGGAAGCAGAAGACGCGTAGAGACAGCTAGAACGGTAGCTTCACTTTTTTCGGCGGTTCAACAAACTTTGAGCCGAACTTCGGTGGGTCAATAAACTATGCACGCCACCGGGGGGCGATCATTAGAAGATCATCATCATCGCCACCACATCTCGGTGATGGCGCTTGAGTTGAACCGAATCTTTTGTTTGTGGCAAACGCATAAATAACAAGCCGAAAGAAAGGTCAACGGCACTGACTCTAAAGTGAATGTAAAATGGGGGAGAGGGAAATGGCTGTAATGAAATTGCCAAAGAAAAAAGAACACAACTTCTATATCAGCTAAGAAAAATCTTTTAAAAAGATGAGCCGAAAATCCGGCCATTAGAATTGGTAAGTGGGTACGTTGAACTCTCCTACGGAAAATATAATCAAATCTGATGTACAATTTGGAGTAATCTTAGATTACTAATATATATTACTTATAATTTAATCTATATTCTTGTTTTTTTTAAGTTTAAAAAAATGGCAGAGGATTCTTTTGGATTTGAAAGATCTAAAGGCGCTCATATCAACAGCGCCCTCATGTGTTAATCAATGATAACTCAATATAACTATCGATAGTTTCAAATGACCGATAACCATTTATCGCACCCATCTCTGAGCATCTGTCATCTCTATGTGTTTACATGTGAATATTTTGCTGATTTCTAGCAAAATCCAAATTAACACAATATCTCCGCAATATGAGCTCTCCAACAAGTAAAAACGTCAGCGAGACGAACGGAAACAAGCCAAAGAAGACGGGTAAGACAAATTCCACGACGAAAAGTGGTTCCATGGATACGAGGGCGGAATTGGCGGACCTCATCAAAAAGAAGGCAGAGACCTCGGTGAGACACCATAAACAAACATTTATGTGCGAGATTATATCACAACTGACAAACAGGAACAATTGGCTAACCTGGAGCGGCAAATATACGCCTTTGAGGGATCGTATCTGGAGGACACGCAGCTATGCGGGAACATCATTCGCGGCTGGGAACGGTACCTGACCTCCAACAAGGCGACGAACTCCAAGGCCGACAAACGGAATCGCAAGTTCAAGGAGGCCGAGCGGCTATTTTCTAAATCTAGCATAACTTCGATGGCTATATGTAATCGTAAGTATATGTGAAGCTGATTTGGTTCTTAAATACGTAATTTCTTGCATATTTTATTAAAGCTGAACGCGCCAGCGAATCGGATTCTATAACCAACGAAGACTCAAGCGATAATCAGATCTCTCTGAACCAGAATACAACAACGGCCCACGATGGAGCCACGACAATCAAGAGCACACCAAAAGATGAAAAGGGTAAGAAAGAATTTGTGTTCGAAGACGAAGAAATCGACGTTGTGACGCTGTAGATATACCTAAGTAGCTAGAAGCTATTCAAAATAAGAACTGAGCTAGCAGCGGCTAGCAAACAAATCTGTGATCAAAGTACTCAAATTTAATAACAAGGTTTTAAAAAAGTTCCTTAGCATTGTAAACTAGTCAAAATTTCAAGAAATCCCCAGCTCAAGAATAAGTCTAGCGGTTATATTTATTTAAAATTGTGTTAAGACGTATGTATAAATACCTTATTTGTATCTGCATTTTTACTTAACTAATATATTCTATTATGTATACATCTAGATTCTCCTTCGCACCGCAATGAAGGTAGCCTTGGAGGCGTATCAGCCGGTGGAGGAGCAAGTGGTGGAGGCATTGGAGGCTTAAGTTCTGGAAATAAGGATGTCCTGGGAACACCAACGTCTAACACAAAAAGTAAACTGTCGAGCAGCTCGAGTGCCACGGCGAAAAAGAGCGGGCACATAAATAAAAAGATTCGCCATCGATGATTTAGCAATTTTCACTTAAAACCTTTGAAATTAAAATTGTACAATTGATAAAAAGATAGTAGGCTTTTAGATATTAGTTTTATATTCAAAGATATGTTAATTTTCAATCAATTTATTAATACAGATCAAAAATCAATTATACATTTATACATACAATACTTTAAAACACTTTTTTAATCCTCATTTTTACCATATAACGAAATAAATCAAGATTATTTAAATTTTAAATTTTTGATCAATTTTTAAATCATACGTGTGGCAACGCTGTCGATAATAGTGCTGGAAAGCGCAGAAATAGCTCATGACGTGTGTTCTAGTTCTGAGAGGCAGCTCCGGAACCAGATCAAAAGAACTGAACTGACTTAGCTCTACGAGACATTTTCACTAGAGGTGCAAAAACATCGATGTATGGAGACATCGATGTTTTTCGATGTTTTTCCCAAAACATCGATGAAACATCGATGTTTTTAAAAATTAAAAAAATATTTTTTAAATAAGTTTGTTGTTTTGTGTCATGTGGAGTTGCCTTAAACGGCTCCCCACACGCGTAGGTCCGAAGAAAGGGGTACTTCAAAGGCCTTGGCTGTGGCTAACGGAACGTTTTATTCTATAAATTCATACATTAGTTTACAATTCAAATATTAATCCTTCTTCTTACCGCAGTGTGCCCTCCTACAATCAACAAAACAATGAATGGCACTTTTTGGCGGCATTCACACTACCGCTATTAGTAGGCCCGTAATTCCGACAACTTAAAATACTACATTTCCTAATAATACTGACTTAACTATCGATAACAATGTTTTTGACCGTCGACAAAGTTAAATAGATAAATAGACATACGGTTGTAATAAAATTTTAAAATTTAAAACTAAAATTTTTAAATTTTTAAATTTTTAAAATTTTAAAATTTAAAATTTAAAATTTACGTACCTTTTCTTTGCTTGTTCTCTTGATAGTGACGGCACAAAAACATCGATGGTCAAAAAAAACATCGATGTTTTGGAAAATTCAAAAAACATCGATGCATCGATGTTTTCATCGATGTTTTTTGCACCTCTAATTTTCACTATCCGGCAAATTATTGTTTGCTACTTTTTGGCAGGATTGGGACTCCCCTCGGGCAAGCGAAGCATAGCACCTGTCCGCCGGCAGAGCGAGAGAACGTAAACGGTACCTGGGACAGACCCCCGCACGCAGAAAACCCCCCTTGAACGATGGGCCCCAGCCGAATCAGCAGCTCCACGGTGGCTCGGCAGCAGCGGCAGTTCCATGCCATTTGTTTATGTCTGCTTGTTGTTGGCAGCTGCTACGTGTCGCAGTCTCAGGCAGATGAGCACAATCACAAGGTGAGTGTATGCGGGTATCTGTATCGTACACCTGAGTATATTTAACGAGTTATACCATTCTCACCAGTACAACGATCGGGACGAGGTGGTGCTATGGATGAACACGGTGGGTCCTTATCACAATCGCCAGGAGACCTACGCCTACTTCTCCCTGCCCTTCTGCAGTGGCCAAAAGTCCTCCATCTCGCATTATCATGAGACTCTAAGCGAGGCCCTTCAAGGAGTGGAACTGGAGTTCAGTGGCTACGAGATGGGATTCAAGACCGATGTCTCTCGAAGTATTATCTGCATGGTGTCCCTGACGGAAGAGAGCACTAAGGCCTTTACCTATGCGGTGAAGAACGAGTACTGGTACCAGATGTACATCGATGGTCTGCCCATTTGGGGAAAAGTGGGTGAACGGGACGAGCGGGATGGCAAGTTCTATATATTTACGCACAAGAAGTTCGATATCGGCTACAATGGCCAGCAGATTGTCGACATCACTCTGACCACGGAAGCCAAGGAGGAGCTCAAGGCCGGAGCGCATATTAATTTCTCCTACGAAGTCAATTGGAAGCCCAGCACGGTGGAATTCAAGAACCGATTCGACAAGTACCTAGACCCCAACTTTTTCCAGCACAGGGTGAGTAAAAATGGAAAAACTGATAATACGAAAAACCAATTACTTGCAAAGGAACATAAGTGTCCCGTCTACCTAATCATGAGTCATATTTTGAACTCCCGAGAAACCTATCCTACTTTATCAGTTGTAGACTGTAGTAGTCTTTGTAGAAAATGATTCTACCATCACATAATCATAAATACAAACTCTTACCCCGCAGATCCACTGGTTCAGCATCTTCAACAGCTTCATGATGGTAATCTTCCTGGTGGGCCTTGTGTCCATGATCCTTATGCGTACCCTGCGCAAGGATTACGCCCGGTACAGCAAGGACGAGGAGGTGGATGATATGGAACGCGATCTGGGTGATGAGTATGGTTGGAAACAGGTCCATGGCGACGTTTTCCGATCGCCCCCAAACACTCTGCTCTTTTCGGCTTTGGTCGGAGCAGGTTATCAACTAATATCTGTAGTCTTTTGCGTCATCATGTTCGCCATAGTGGGAGAGCTGTACACGGAACGCGGTTCCATGCTATCCACGGCGATCTTTGTTTATGCAGCCACCTCGCCGATTAATGGCTACTTTGGAGGATCATTGTATGCCCGACTAGGCGGACGTTTGTGGATCCGTCAGATGCTGGTCTCCGCTTTCACGGTACCCGTTGCTGTCTGTGGTACGGCGTTCCTGATCAACTTTATCGCCATTGGATACCATGCCTCCAGAGCGATTCCCTTCGGCACCATGGTGGCGGTTACGTGCATCTGCTTGTTCGTGATTCTGCCCCTTACCCTGGTGGGCACTGTTGTGGGCCGCAATCTCGATGGCCAGCCGGACTTCCCGTGTCGCGTAAATGCAGTGCCGCGTCCTATTCCCGAGAAGAAGTGGTACATGGAGCCGTTGATTATCGTGCTACTTGGTGGCGTTCTACCATTTGGTTCAATTTTCATTGAGATGTATGATCCTCTGAGGAAAATCTCGAAATTCTTTAATAATTTGTATAATCTTAACACACAGGTACTTTATTTTCACCTCCTTCTGGGCATACAAGATCTACTATGTCTACGGATTCATGTTGCTGGTGTTCACCATTCTGACAGTGGTCACCGTCTGTGTGACCATTGTGTGCACTTACTTCCTGCTGAACGCCGAGGACTACCGATGGCAGTGGACGAGTTTCATGGCGGCGGGTTCCACCTCTATTTACGTTTATGCCTACTCGTTCTACTACTTTTTCTTTAAGACCAAGTAAGATTGAAAATTGTATAATTAGTGTTCTTTTCCTAACTTTGCACTTTCTTTCAGAATGTTTGGTCTCTTCCAAACGGCGTTCTACTTTGGCTACATGGCTCTATTCAGCGGCGCCTTGGGTATCATCTGCGGCACCGTCGGCTATGTGGGCACGAATCTCTTCGTGCGCAAAATCTATTCCAATGTGAAAATAGACTAAGAGTCCTGTGACTTGATGCACCCCGCTCCCTGTCCCAGATCTGTATATCATCCAAAACGATTTACACTTGTATTTATTGAGTAGCGATTTAGTTCTGTGCGTGTTTTATATTTTTGGCTCCAGTTGGGCGTTCTCCTTTATTTTTGCTCTTGGTTTCTCAATCTGTACCTCTCACTTCTCAAGTTGGTGTGAAAATGAATGCCAGTCCAATGTATTCGCACCAAAGATTATATATTCAGTTAATCGAATGTATACGCAAGGCGCAAGTATTGCTTAGATAGTGCTTTTCGGAATTGTAAGACAATGAGAATGACAAAGCTAATTAGATTCTGTAATTATTAGTGAACCATAAAGACGGTAGAATATATATTTGTAAATTGGAAGCTCAATTTTGTGCATTTATTTTTTCGAATAATTGCATAAACTTACTTATTAAAAATATATATTTACAATTATTGTTTTATTTAACTTAATGGGTAAAGTCAATCTTAATTAACATTTTACCTAGCATTTAGATATTTCACACTATAGATTCAAACTCAAAAATTAAAACTAACTAGTTGACTGAAAATTCCGAAGATCACTTAATTAAACTAAAGCATCTGAGCACTCGTGTACTTCATCAAAATGATTTCAATTATTTGCCTAGAAAACTTATCAATCTATGCAATTGCAATAGAATGTGACTTGAACTTGTTTGCGCCAATTAAGTTTATGTACGATGCAAGAAATGTGCTGATTAGCCATAGTCGATAATCTAATAAAAAAAAAAATTAATAAATAAAAACAAACTCCTCTCGTTTTCACTCGTTAATCTACATCTTGGACATTATCGGGCCATATAAAGATCATTGGGGATTGTAAAACAGCTTGGCTGAATCAGCTTGGCAACATTGACCCCCAAAATTTGTTATTTCACTTCAAGGGGGCCCACCTTTTGTTGTGCAATTAATTGGTTTGGACACCTTATCTCTGCATATATAAGGTATTCTTTTCTGGCCGATCGGATCAAGTGCTTTTGGGATTATTCCATGACATCTGAATTGATAAAGAATATTATTTGGATTCCTTTTTCTTTTTTTTTTTGTTTAGCTGATAGGACTGAGTTTGGACGAACCTACTCCATTGAATTATGGTTACTACGCACAAGATTATTATCTTCTGGGGATAAGTCACAAGAAATAGATTGCAAAAAATAAATATTTAGGATCTTACTACCATTTGTAGGCCTTCTACCAACTGGTTTTACTTTTCCAACTTATCTATGGAAGCTCTCGAGATGGCCAATCTCGCCACAACCTTAGTAAGTAACGTAAACGGCGCTTGTTCCAAAGTGGCCACTTCCAAAGCCAACAAGTGTCTGCCTCTAATGACGCGTGTTGTGTCGTGGACTCTGTCTTGTCAATGGAATTCTCAGATAAGTCGAGAATGTCGTCGTTCCCTCAAAAACCTTTTCAAATCCGATCCGCCGCACATGTGAAGCCCTGATTAAGAACATATTGATTTCGTAATTTATGCTAATTTCGAGAAGATGGAAACTGTAACGGCGCTTCGGAAATAATTTTCTTCAAGCTTTTCGATTCTATTGTGAAAGTGATGAAAATAATTGACCAACAATCGACTCTGTTTGAGTCGGGTGTCATTTTGATAGGCATCGCCCACCTTTGGAGAACATAAACTTCCCGATTTAATCGCGTTTAATGGCTTGATTGACAGTTGATGTATTTTTGAAGCCACTTCCCGCAGACTCTGGGCCAAGAACCCGAGAACCCTGCTGACCCATTTTTGGGCTTGGCTCGGCTGTTAATGACTGCTTGTATTTATATATCTTCTTGCATAAATTATCATCGTAATGCCACTTTTCCATTTGATCTCTTTAGCGTTTCCCTTTCGATTGGGGACCAAGAACAGTTATGGAGATGCGGGAAATGTTTTTCTGGGTTCGATTTTTAGATTATTTTGTTTATTTTATATGCATATTAAAATCTTGTCCACTTTCTGGGGGTTTTCGGCAGCTTATAAAAGCTGTAACGGATCTCTGGACTCAGCTCAGTCGGCTCGGAACACATTTTCCAACAACATCATGGTTCATCTTTATCTTTTGGCTGTCTTTGCTTTCGGTAAGTTTTTATTTTTTAAAGAAACTGAACGAAATTATCCTTAAACATATTATTTTTTAGGACTCTGCTTCCATGTGGAAGCCACATTGATGAAATGCGCTTGTGATCCTGGCGCCAAGGGTGAACGAGGACCTCCTGGACCCCCAGGACCACCTGGTCCTCCAGCTGGCCTAGCAGGCAGTGGCTCTGGGTACTGGGGCAGCGGTTCTGGGTACTATCCCCCAGCCGGACCTTTTCCACCGAATCTTCCTATTGTTCCGGGACCCAGAGGTCTACCTGGTCCACCGGGACCCCCTGGATATTGCTTCCCATGCCCTGCCATTCCTCCCGTTCGTTCTTTCCCACCACCTGGAGTACCGATTCCTCCCTTCATCTCCTCGCAAGCCGTTCCCGGAGGCTTAGGCGCCTCTGCTTTGACTACTGCCGTGGGAAATATAATTGTGATTCCCGGAGGAGCGGGAACTGGATTAACAGGTCGTGCCCAGTTTTTCCATATCGCCCCAGATGGCCAGGTGATGCAGATCGACCGTCCCCAGAATCTGCCAATTGATTTGTTCGATTCGCCAGTAAATGCTCCCGCTGCAGCGCCCATTCCTCCACCACAACCAACATCAGCATCCATTACGGGGATCACACCACCGGCCATTCAAGTGGCACCCACTCAGCCCACTACCGGAGATCTGGGGTCTCAGCAGCCCACTCTGCTTCCCGAAAATGTCGAGGAAACCATATTTGCGGTCGGTAATCGCAAGGACTTTTTGCGCGGTGGATCCGAGGCGAGTGACTGGAGAAGGATTCTGCTTTTGGGAGAGCGGCCCTCGGACGTCCTTCTGCCACCCAATGGACCCTCTGTGCAGGCGCACAGTCCCAACCTGGAGAGCAGCGTGGAGAGCTTTCAACGGGCTCTGGTTGAGCTAAAGGAAAAATACTCCAATCTTGTCCAGCCTCGAAGTGCCAACCAATATGCAGTCTATATTTGAGGAAAAGATTATAAATTAGTTGAATAATAATAAACAAAACAGTACTGATTATGTCTAAAGGAAAAGGAGATTATTTTTTACTGTCAAACACAATAATCTCTAATTTAATTATCTGCTTTTTGACAAGTATGCAACAAAGCAAATATTTTCCCATGTTTTACGTCATAAATATGACGTAAATATAAAGCTTATAGTCTATAAATTATAGAGAATACTTATTGATGACAGCTTAGATGTCCCCTGTCATTTTATATACGTCACAGTTTCCGATTTTTTAATTCCCTTACCTTTCAATGATCTTGGGAATTCCCTTAAGAATCCCCATGATAAGGAGTTTTATTTACCAAAATAATTATCGGTGTGAGAAATTCTGCCTAACCATGATATGGTAAAAAAAATGTCTCTTAAAACCATTTAAATCAAAGTTCGAGAATATTTTTCCACGAAATATACTTATTTTATTGTTTAAATAAAATTGAAAGACCCCTATCACAAGTGTGATAATTGAGCTTCTCGGAAATGACAAAATCAAAACAAATAAAATCTTATAGGGTAGTCTGAAGGTAAAATAGACTTTTTATTTTATTTTGCGATAGTCTGTAAAAAATTTTATATTTTTTTAAAAAGTAAATAAATGGGGCGTGACCAACATTATTATAAGAATAAATAAAAACGAAAGGAAACGTTTGTTTAAAGCATCAGTTACTTTTTAGAAATTCGTAAAAGAAAATGTAGTTCTTAAAAGTTAATAGTTAAAAGATTAAAAATAAATTAAAGAGTATAAGGATATTTAGATAAAGATGTTTTAGATAAAATTCAAATTTTAAAACAGACTAAATTTATTTATAAAATTGTGGGAATCACTTTGTTTGAATGGCCTTTTCAACTGAATTTCTACCTAAGCAAAAATACAAGCTAATGCATAAATAATAAAGTTTATGAGTTTATTGACTTGATTCCAAAACAATTTATGGTGAATTAGATTTTAAAGAGCAAAACTGGACTGCCCTCTGGAAGTAGTGAAAGTCACCTATGTTTGTTTTTCATTCATTAAAAAATCTTTATCAGATTTTTATTAGAACGAAGAAGTGCCAAAAGCCAGATATCACTAATAATATTTTTGTTTTGTTTTAAAAAGAGAAACCTCCTCCAAATTGGATTGATTTCAAAGGTTGATTTCATAATAGAATATCACGCCATCCCCCCAACCCGTCAGCTAAAGTCGAAAATTAAGTTTATTTTTAAAGTTTATATTTAATCGTTTTTAATCAGATGAACGTCTGCTACTTATCAGACATAAGCGTAATTTTTTTGGTATTTCTATTGATCTCTTGATCAGTGGTGTCATTTCCGCTTTTTTCCCGTCAGATCTGGGTTTTTTTGAAGCGTGATTGCGGGAAAAATATGAAAACAGCGGGCAGCGGAAATTCTGACTTTTTGATGCATTCTCTGTTGAAAATATTTTAAAAATCAAAAAGAAACAAATCTCTCCAATCCTTGAGTATTTTGGTACTCCTAATATAGATAAAATTGAACGACTGTACAACGACATAACCCTGGTAGAGTGGGAAAATGTCGATGATACTGTTAAGTTCTGGGCTGAAGTTCTTAGATATCGGGATTCTGGCGGAAACTGCCGTTTTCCGGAATTGGCTTCAGTTGCTCTGCAAATGCAGTTCTGCCTTGGTCGAATGCCGACGTCGAGCGGGTGTTCAGCCAAGTACATTTAATAAAAACGAAAATTCGAAATAGCATGAGCGTTGAAACGTTAAACGCTATACTGAGTATAAGGTCCATATTTTAATTTGTATCTTAAAATTATAAATTAATTTAAAATTTTAAAATTTAAGGTACGGGCTGCGTCGACACAATATGTGCTGTTTTAACTATAATATACACCCCAGCTGCCTATCTACAATTGTAGACAAGAAATTTTATCCAACTGATGATGATGATAATATTGACGACATCTTAAATATAATATAGATCTTAATTTTTGTACATTATTGTTTTTTTTTGGTTTCTTTGTAATGATATCCGTTAGAGAATTACCCATATATTTTATGTTAAGTGGAACTGAGGGCTTATTAGTGAATAACATGCAGTACATTGCCTTATAAAAATCAGTTTTTTTCTTAACTTTTTTTCTCTGGTATTCCGCTTTTTTTAGCTTTTTTTTTTCATTGATCCAGCTTTTTTTGCTCAGAAAAAAGTGACACCACTGCTCTTGATAGGGAACACACTCCTTTTCCGTGGAGTGGGCCTGGCCCCTCGAATAATTTCTTTTTCTGGAGGGGCATGTGTCCGCACCTGTCAATTTAGTTGAGTATTCATTTAACACGATAAAGCGTACGTGAGATATCATCGTCTAGTGGTTGGATAATTAAGAGTCCTCCGAGCTGTCAATCAACTCCTGATTTCCTAATCGCAAGCGGTGAGTCCATCGCCGACGCAAGCGGCAAACGCCATTATGTGGGGAATGGTGTTCTGCTCGTAGACTCCGGTGAAGAGGTGGGCCCAGGGACCGGAGGCGAATACTCCGACATCCTCGCCGCCATGGGTCTCCGATTCCAGGGGTGCCATCGCCGGGAAGAGCTGATCAAAGTCACCGATGGTGGGCAAGCTGGTGGGATCCTCTCGCTGGTGGGTTTCCGTGTTGTAGAAGTCCTCGAAACTCTTGCCATTGGCGTAGGTGAGGGCCAGGTAGGGTTTTCCATCCTTGGCCTTCGATTTGGTGGGTCCAAAGATATCGCTGCCTCGGGGCTGGTAGCCAGCGACGCTGAAGGTGTGCGAGTGGTCGGAGGTGACCACGATGAGGGTGTCCTCAGGGTTGGTCATCTCACGGGCTCTCTTCACCGCCTTGGACAGCTCCGCAGTTTCGTCCAGAGCGATCCTGGCCATGGTTTCATGATGGCTGATATCAATCTTTCCACCTTCCACGAACAGGAAGTACCCGTTCTCCTCGGTCTGCAGAACTTCAATTGCCTTCTGGGTCATCTCTTCCAGCGTGGGTTCATTGTTGTCGGGATCGGCCAACTGCTCCATGTGGTAGTGCATGTGGCTCTTGCTGAAGAGGCCCAGCAGACGACCCGTCTCGGTGGCATTTACCTTGAGCAGTTTCTTCTGGGTCTTCACAAAGGTGTTCCCCGCATCCAAGGCCTCGAATTCCTCAACCAGATTGCGTCCATCCGTGCGTCGGCCCTTGTCGTAGTGCTCCGGGCTGTAGAAGCTCCTCTTGCCGCCTCCCAACATGACCTTCAGCTTGCTGCCCACCTCTCCATGGATCAGTTGGACGGCTATGTCCTGCAGACCCTCAGAGAGCTCACCGCAGGCTTCCTCCAGCACAGCATTGTTCTCCCACTCGCGATCGGCAACGTGGGCATAGACTCCGGAGGGCGATGCGTGGGTCAGTCGGGTGGTGGTCACTATTCCTGCGGCTTTGCCGGCGTCCATAGCCCACTTACCGAGAGAGAATACGTGGTTGGTCTCGTTGGCCATGGCCAGGCAGTCGCCGCGCTTCACGTGGGCATTCACTCCGATGGTTCCGTAGTTCGCTTTCACGCCACACAAGTACGAGGTGGATGTGCAGGCACTGTCGGGCACTATTTTGTCCACGGAGTAGGTCTTGGAGAGACCGGTGAAGGGGAACTCCTCGAAGGACAGCTTCATCTCCTCGCCTCCAATGTAGCTCCTTGCAGCAGCCAGGGTGGCCAGTCCCATTCCATCGCCCAGGAAGAGAATGATGTTCTTGGCCTTGTTTGTGTTTCTTATGTAATTCAGCTTCTCCCGTATCAGCTTCTTGCTGGCGGAGTGCCAGAACTCTTGGGTTTCCTCTCCAGATATCGTCCGCAGCCGGGGACTGCTCGGCAGATGCGGGTGCATCCGCTCCTCGTCCTCGGGCGCCTTGCCGGGCACCGCCGCACTCCAGGCGACGGCTACCAGACCCAGCCCAATCCAGAACTTCAAATTCAGCATTTTCGGGTGATGCTTTCACTGTGCCAGCCAGGTGAATACTGTACTCCAGAGTCACATGCGGGCCTTTATAATCCATCGGGTGCAGTCGACGGTGGTCGGGTAATTTACGACACCTCCTTGGCCAGACCGTGATACTCACGTTTCCAAAGTTCTAAGCCCGAAAGCCACTCGAGATAATTAATCGATCGCCACTCTAGATTTCACCTCAAATCACAATAACAATCATATATAATGCGTATGAAACCACCTATATAGCAGGAAGAGTCGGAGGCTATATAACCAGGCCGATCCGGCTCTATTGGCCAGTCTGTGGCCAACTGTCGTTCCGAGCATTAGTCAGTTCCAAGTAAGCCGCTCCAAGATGCGAAAGAGTTGCCTAATTCTGTGCTCATTGGCACTCCTTGCTATTCAGGCGCGAGGTGACCTATCCGACGAGCAGGAAAATGGTGAGTAGCTAATCAGAACGAAGTGGCCACCCGATCGAATCCGATTTGTGGAGGCTTCGGCTTATCTCCAGCCAATGGGAAGCAGCCATGCGTTATCACAAATCTTGTCAGCTCATTAGACCCAACTAATCTTGATATATTTATAAACCAGTACGTCAGTTTGAGAGTTTTATAAATTATGCTGCATTTTAATCTTTGTAAATCAAAACCTGAACTTGGGGAAAGGTCCTGTGGTTTTTAAATAATTGCGAATATATATTTAATAAATCTTTATTTAAAATATATTAGGGCCTTTAGCAGACAAGAAAAATTAATATATAACGAAATATATTACAAATCTCTTTCTAAATATTTTTCAAGTAAACAAAAACGAATACTTTCTTGGATCATTAAAAAGTAATTAGACTCTAAACATAATCCCTCACTTTTGTTACTAAGCTAAGGGTTATTTAAGTATTCAAAGATTAAGCCCTAAACCTGAAAAAACACCATAAAATAAACTACAACTCATTGAGAGCTAAAGCCAATTTTAATGATGAAATCACAAATTATAAGTAGGAATGAAAACGTTTATAACACGTGTGGGTAATCTTATTATAGTTGCCGATTTCCCCAACGATAAGAAATCAGCCGACGAAAACCATAAAAACCTAAAATTAAAACGGATTTATAGATCATATCAGAATTGGCCACCCGAATAATAAGTTTATGGTCTTGGAGGAATGTTTTATTGGAACTCTTCCTTTCCGACAATCAGTTGCTAACCCAAAGTCCGATTGGTTTTCAGCTCAACATCCACGTTTGATTTCATCACGAGACTTTGAGGCCCTCAACGAGGAGCTGGACACACGTTTCTGGCATGATAAGGCCCAGTCCATTTTGGCCGATAAGGTGGCCAAGTATAAGAAGCTTAACGAGAACCGGGCCAAGAACGTGATCTTGTTCCTCGGTGATGGCATGTCCGTGCACACGGTTACGGCCACACGCGCCTTCATGGGCGACAGCAACATGCAGGTGTCCTTCGAGAAGTTCCCCTACTTGGGCCTGTCCAAGACCTACGCCGTAAACGAGCGCACTCCGGACTCGGCCAACACCGCCACGGCCTATTTGACCGGAGTGAAGGCCAACTACGGCACGATCGGCGTGACGGCCCAGGTCCAGCGAGGCGACTGCGTGGCTGCCACAACGAATAGCACCCACGTCCAGAGCATCGCCCAGTGGGCTCAGGAGGCCGGCAAGTGGGCTGGTCTGGTGACCACCGCTAGGGTGACCCATGCCTCGCCAGCTGGCGTGTATGCCCACGTCGCCGACCGTAACTGGGAGCACGATGGTGAGATTGTGAGCTCCGGCTGCAGTGCCGAGGAAAACACAGACATTGCCCGCCAGTTGGTGGAGTGGCCTGTGGGCCAGGAGCTGCGCGTCATTATGGGTGGTGGCCGGTCCTACTTCCGTGACCAAGCCCAGCACGATGAAACCGGAGTCTTGGGCCTCCGCACGGACGGTCGTGACTTGATCCAGGACTGGCAGGACATCAAGAAGCAACAGGGCGCTGAGGGCAAGTATGTCTGGTCTCTGAAGGGCCTGCTGGAAACGGATCTGAACAAAACCGATTACCTCCTGGGACTCTTCGAAACCTCGCATCTGCCCTACCATGGCGATCGCCAGAGGACCCATTGGGACAGTGCCGAGCCCTCGCTGTCCGACATGACCGCGTCGGCCATCAATCTTCTGAGCAAGAACGACAAGGGCTATTTCCTGTTTGTGGAGAGTGGCAGGATCGATATGGCCCACCATGCCACTCAGGCCAAGAAGGCTCTGGAGGATACCCAGGAGTTCGCTGCCGCCATAGAAATGGCCAGGAAAATGACCGACGTGGAGGACACTCTTATCGTGGTGACCTCGGATCACTCGCACACTATGTCCATTAATGGATATCCGGTGAGTTATTAAACTCAACTTTTGTAATCCATTTTACTAAACCTTTCCCTTTTAGTACCGTCGGCAGAACATCCTCTCCCTGGCTCCCAACTTGGCGGATGACGAGCTGCCCTTCACCATTCTCTCCTATGCCAATGGACCTGGTTTCGCCGATACTTTCAGCTCTGCCAGCGGCCGCGTAGATCTCTCGCACGTGGACACCACCAACCCGGAGTTCGAGTTCCAGGCCACAGTTCCCCTGAGCAGCGAGACCCACGGAGCCGAGGATGTGGGCGTTTTTGCATCGGGTCCCTTCGAGCATCTGTTCACCGGAAACTTCGAGCAGAGCAGCATCCCCGCCATGATGGCCCACGCCGCCAACATTGGACCCTTTGCCAAGGATAAACTGGACGATTAGCTTAAATAAAGTCTCATTATGGAATACTCAAAGTATAACCAGTAGTTTAGGATTAGCCCCTAGGGAAAGTCAGTGAAACTAATGGGGAAACTGTACGCTAATGTAAATAGATCGTTAAATAAAAAAAAAAACATAATATTGGTAGAAGAAAGACAATGTATTTACGTGGTTATGGACTTCCAAACTCCTATTAGTTCGATCCTGATGATTCATGTTGTCCAGTGTAATGAGATAACAATTAGCCTTCGAGGAGACACATGACCAGGTAGGCAGGCACACGACACCCCAAGTATATATGTGTACCTGGCCTCTCACCCACATTTCCCGAAGGCACTGGAAAAAGCCTGACTTGTAATTTACCTGAACCGTGTCGATTCTGCTGACCACTGCAAGTTGCTTACCTGGTCGATCCATTTCGCTGACCGTCGTCAGTCTGGTTTCAACCTCTACGCGAATATGTTGGCACTTTTGGCTTCATCGGCTCTGGTTATCTTACTGAGTGTTGTGATTACGTCCTACGTCCGGATCGTGTGCGGTACCAAGCGTCGAGTTAGACAGTCCATTAGGAACGGAAATGCAAATCCCGGAAACGGTTCAGTCCCTGAGAAATTCAAGCAAGCCCCAGGCCCTCGACCATGGCCGATTATAGGAAACCTTCATCTGCTGGATCGCTACAGGGACAATCCCTTTGCGGGATTCACAGAACTGGCTCGGGAGTATGGGGATATTTACTCCCTGACCTTCGGACACACCCGCTGTCTGGTGGTGAACAATCTGGAGCTGATCCGCGAGGTGCTGAATCAAAACGGCAAGGTAATAAGCGGTCGCCCGGACTTCCTCCGCTACCACAAGCTGTTCGGGGGTGAGCGGAGCAATTCCCTGGCCCTCTGCGATTGGTCGCAGCTCCAGCAGAAGCGGAGGAACCTGGCCAGGCGACACTGTTCGCCGCGGGAGTCCTCCTCGTTCTACATGAAAATGTCCCAGATCGGCTGCGAGGAGATGGAGCACTGGAACCGGGAGCTCGAGTCCAAAATGACTCCTGGCGAACCCATCGAAATCAAGTCATTTATCCTCAAGGCCTGTGCGAATATGTTCAGTCAGTACATGTGCTCCCTGAGGTTCGACTACGAGGACACGGAATTCGAGGTCATAGTGAAGTACTTCGATGAGATATTTTGGGAAATAAATCAAGGACATCCCCTGGATTTCCTGCCCTGGCTGCAGCCCTTCTATCAGGGGCACTTGAACAAGATCACCAACTGGTCCACGACCATCAGGAAATTCATACTGGATCGGATCATTTGCCAGCGGGAGCTCAACATCGACCTGGACGAGCCCGATAGAGATTTCACAGATGCCCTGCTAAAGAGCCTAATCGAGGACAAGGAGGTCTCCAGGAACACAATCATATTCATGCTGGAGGATTTCGTCGGTGGCCATTCGGCTGTTGGAAATCTGGTCATGTTAGTGCTAGCCTATGTTGCCAAGGATCAGGACATAGGAAGGAGAATTCAAGAGGAAATCGATGCCATCACAGCCGAGGAGAAGCGTCCCATAAATCTGCTCGACATGAGTGCCATGCCCTACACCATGGCCACCATCTTTGAGGTGCTTCGGTATTCATCCTCGCCCATTGTTCCCCACGTGGCCACCGAGGATACAGTCGTCTCCGGCTATGGAGTAACCAAAGGCACCGTCGTCTTCATCAACAACTACGTGCTCAACTCCAGCGAAAAGTATTGGCAGAACCCCAAGCAATTTAATCCAGAGAGATTCCTGGAGGAAGTCAGTGATCATAGCCAGAAGAACAGGAGACACTCCAAGGACTCGGATTCGGGGATCGAAAGCGACAAGGAGAAACGGCAGTTGCGGAAGAACATCCCACACTTTCTGCCCTTCAGCATCGGCAAACGGACGTGCATAGGCCAGAACCTGGTGAGAGGATTCGGCTTCCTGATCCTGGCCAACGTCCTCCAGCGGTACAATGTGAGCAGCCATGATCTGGCCACGATTAAGGTCAGCCCGGAAAGCTTGGCACTGCCCGCCAGCTGTTTCCCATTGGTTCTGACGTCCAGAAAAAGTGCCTAGCCAGGCACAAATCGCCAATTAATTTTTTTGTTTAGGCAGTAGGAATTTTTGGTAATTGATTTTGGCCAACAAGCCAAAAAGCTTACCAGACAAATCGGCGTTGCGGCAGCCACGATACTTCTCTCTCTCCTCCTACCCTTGTAAATAATAATTTAGTCTGCTTAAATAAATATATAGACTAAAGTAATTAAAACTTTGACCTTCAAGTGAATAAGAAAAGATATATACTTTGCATTCAATGAATGATCGATATCCCACTAGCGGCGGAAAAAAAGAGTTATTTTTAAACCTTTTTATTAGAGATAAGGTTAGAAACTAAAAACCTTTTAAAATTGATTTCAAATTAGTTTATTTGACAATCTACTTACTGTATTTTGTTATTTTGAATTGAAACATTCACACAAGTCCGCTCTGAAAACATCTCATCTACACATATTTGCACAGTCGATCCATTTAGTTAATAATTTTAGATATAAATGACTCAGTTAATGTTTAATGTATGTTAATCCGTGTATTATCCTTAAGCGAATCGAACTATTTACATTTTTATTTTCTTGTAGAAATCAATGGACTAAGGTCCAAGTCGAACCATGCATGGACTTACTATTTAGACCTTAACTAAACTAAAGACTTGTTTTATTAATAAATGCGATTTGTTCACAAAAATGGTCAAATGAAAAATCGAGAAATATAAATAAAGGAAAAACCGAGCAGTATACAAAAATTATGCTTATGTCCTAAAAGAATTTTCTAAAAGGTGGAAAACTATCCTATAATAAAATCTATATCTATATCGGATGCTATTGGGTTTCCACCAGAAGCTGTGGCTTGGCTTCCACCACTGGTTGCTCTACGGGAGCAGTTGGTTCCTCCGTATGGAAGTCATTGCTGGTTTCCTCTATCGACGTTCCCACATCGTCCACGTCCAAAGTTTTGGGCAGCGGTCCTATTCGTTGCAGGATATCCACAGGCATTATTTGTGTGATAGTTGGCACTGAATTGACAGTGAAGGATGAGGTTAAGCTGGGTAGAGTGGGTAGCGGTGGCAGCTCGGGCAGTGGCGGGGGACTGAAGTACGTCGATGGCGGCGATGTGTGGGCTGCTGGGACAGGCGCCGGCACAGGCCTCAGATTCGGTGTTACTGGAGCTGGAACGGGTACTGGCAAGGGGCCGGGCGACGAGACCATACCACGGGGCTGCGGGTAGCCCTGATAGCCCAGCACAGGAATAGGCTGTGGTGGCACTATCACGGGAATGGGTGAAGATTCCGGCCCTCTGGCTGCCATGGGCGGCGGTCCACTTACGAAGAAGGGCAATCCGTCGGGGGGCAGGGGCATGGGGGGCATGTGCATCTGCAACGGGGGCGGTGGATGTTTCGTAAAGAAGTCCTTCAACATGGCCGCCCTCGTCACGGGATCAACATTCGCAGGAATCGGTGGCGGCCGGTGTCTGAAGAAGGCGGGCAGCATGGGTGGCAATCGTCCCGATTTCATCAGCATGGCGAACTGCTTCGGATCGAACGGAGGGCGGGATAGAGGTCGGAGCAGACGTGTGTGTGACTTCACAATCACCCCTTTCACGGGATCAAAGTGGAAGTAACGGAATCTGGGCTTCTTTTGCACCAAAACGGGTTTCTCCAAGTTCGGGGGCTTGGGCGTCAAAGGAGGTGGCGGCGGCGGCAGGGCCAGGAGCTCATCCCGAACCTGCTGCAACTTGGCAGCAGCCTGCGCCCGTCGCTCCTGGTATTGACGCAGTGCCCGCTCCACGGCGCATCTAACCACAGCACGATCCTCGCTATCACTCTCGTAGTTGGGCAGGACGTTGTCCACAAAGTTGACACGCTTCCGCTTTGGTTTGCTGGGGATTGGTCATGGGATTAGTTGAAGAAAACATAATAGTATTTCAAAGGCTTACCTATCCTCGGGTGGCTGCTCTATTGCAGCTGGTTGGGGAACTGCATCTGGCTCATTACTCGATGGAACGATCTCCAAAACATTACCCTTTTGCACCACCACAGAAGCTCCAGGTACTGGGGCCATTGGCAGCTCTCTAAGCACTGATCCCGCGAGCTGCGGCGACGAAACCCCCTCCATTCCTCCAAGATAGTCACCATATTCGTTGGAAAGTCCATAGCCATCTCCGTACTGGGCATAGGCCTGTTCCATGTTGTAGGCCGAGTCCATGTAGGCAGCATAAGCATCGTAGCTTTCGCCGGTGGGGTCCTGGTGTTCCTGCTGCAGAAGCGACATGTTGTAGAAGTAAGCGGCCGCCTCCATGCCCGGATTCTCGTCAAAGTATTCCATGAAACTTTGTCTTTCATCGTAAGGCGAGCGGGAACGGCAGCGGGGAGAACGCGATCTTGTCCTGGAAAGAGATCTTCGGCGGGTCGGCGAGCGGGAATGGGAGTTCGACCAACTGCGTCGCATGGGTGGTGAAGGTGGCTTGAATGGCAACGGCGAACGGGAGAAGCGTTCGCGATCCCGATCCCGATCTCGGTCTCTGTCCCGTTCGCGGCTTAGGGATCGTCGCAGCCTTTGAGGAGGCGGTGACCGCGGGCCGGCTAACTTTTGTGGTCCCGGTGAGAGTGAGCCTCGCCATCGGTTCCCCATAAATCCAGGCGGGCGTCTTCGCCTACCCGGGCTTCTGCTTCGCGTTCGACTCCTGCTCATGCTTCGACTGTGACTTCGGCCCATGGACCCCATCCCACTTTTCTTGCCAAACCGGAAACCTCTTTTCGGGGATGGAGGTCGCCAGCGTCGCGGACTAGGAGAACGCGAACCATCCTTGCCTCTGCTGGCACGTAGACTGCGGTGGCGGGAACGATTTCTGGAGATGGAACGTGACCTTGATCTGTCCCTCGGCAGTCGGCGATTCCTTCCTGGCGGCGGAGGACTCCTCAGCCTCGGCTTCGACCGAGATTCCACAATCGTGGGCTTTACGATAGCAATTTCCTTGGGTGGTTTCTTGGCTGGCTCCTGAGACAGCTTCGACGGAGGCGGTTGCTCCGCATCATCCTTGTCGAGAATCGCGGATTTCCGGGTTAGCTTCAGCGGGGAAATGGTCAGCTTTATGGCTTCCCTGTTGGCATCGAAAATGTTGTTCACAGGAGTTGGTGAACTTTGAACTTCCGCTGGTGGATGGGTCGAACTCGAAAGCTTTTCTAGATCCTCCGGTGCGGTTTGGTTTTCTTCTCCACTGGCTTTCAGTTCGTGTTTACGATACTTGTCCATGATGGCATTGCGCTGCATCAGAAACAAAGATTCCATTTTGAGCAGCTCCTCGGATATTTCGTCGCCAGCATCGTAGTTTTCCCGCATCATCTGAATCCTGGCCAGGTTGTCTTCCAGACTCTTGAGTTTCCGAAGATCCTTGCTAACGCTATTCTTCTTCTGCTGCTGATCTTTGCCAGGCTGCTCATCCGAGTTGGTCTTGGAGTTGGCTGCATTGGAACCGTTTTCCTCGTCGGAGGAGTGTGGACCCTCCTCCTCAGCTGAACTGCTTTCTTCCTCGGAATCGCTACTGCTGCTACTCGTTGTGGAACTGTCCGAGCCGGAGGAGCTTCCATCGCTAAAGGAAGTAACCTTGGAGGTGTCATCTTCCTCCACGTTCGTCATCTGGATGCTGTTCATGAACTTGTCGTACATCTCGTGGATATTACTGTTGGGCAGGGGTGTGTTTTTGGAGCGAGGAGGAGGCGTGCTATTGGCGTTCCACAGAGCATTAGAATCGTCGTCGTCCACATTGAGGTGACCAGTCTCCTGCGGCAGGGGAGTACTGTTCAGCGAGGAAAACGGATTCCGAGCGTGGGACGTGGGAGTGGCACGAGGAGCGTTCTTGGGAAAACTGGCCATAGAATCGTCGTTCTCCCAGTTGTCAATGTAGTCATCCGTATCCGGACTCTCTTGCTCCTTCGAGGGGGGCGGTGCATTGGCTGCCACAGCTCCATTCCTCAATAGAATCTCCCGGTCGTGCAGATCCTTGTGTGGCGTGTTACTTCTCTCCACCTTGACGCTCCGCAAGTTGGAGCCATTGCTGGTAACCTGCGCCTGTGGTGTCAGATCTTTTTCGACCTTAATGGTGACATCCTTGAACTGGCTGGGGGCGGGCTCCAAGTCGTCGTCCCAGTTCTCCTCCTCGGTGGACTGGCTGCCATTCCTTTGACGCCGCCTGTCGCTTAATACTGATTGACGCTTAAAAGTATTCGTGTGCCGTGATTCTCGACTGTGATGTTGGGCCCTCGATCCAGACCTTTTATCATTCATATTCGACTGAGACTCCAGCTTAGACTCCTTTTTCTCTTTGTACTCGTTAGTTCGTCGGAGTAACTGCTCCTTGGTGGCCAGCAAGGCATCCAGGTGCAAATCATTGTCCTCCAGCAAGGCTCCAATCCGACTGTGAATCTCGCTGGCCTTGAGCAGGGGCTTTGGGATATCCAGAGATGCCTTCAGGGGCGGTGTGGTGCTTCTCTCAATACTTGCAGCTGAAGCTACCACGGCAGTGTTGGATCTTGGCGGTGAGTCGGCGAATATATCGAAGACCTTGGCCTTTGTGGATTCATTATCGTGTGTCTGTGGCAGTTGTTCCGGTGGAGGTGTCATCGCTGGAGTTCCTTCTCTGCTTCCCCAACGGGTTCGGCTCCTGCTTCGATTTCTGTGATCGGTCCTGGTTTTCGTATCCCTTTTTAGAGATTTTTCGTGGAACGAATCGTGCGGGGTGGCTTCTCTTCGGAACATGTTTGCTCGGGGAGTGCCTGGATGGCCTTCCCTTGGTAGAAATCGATCTCGATCCGGTCCTCTAGATCTAAAATGATCTTCCCTTGAATGATCTTGTGCTTTGGGGTTTCTTGTTGGAGATTTGTCTCGTGATCGCCCTCTGGGCTTGTCTAGAGATCTTTCGCTGCCCTTCTCTCCAGAATACCTCTTTGATTTCTCTGTGGAACGTTCTCGAGTTCTATTTCGTTCCCTCTGACTGTCCTTGGAACTATCCCTGGACTTATCCTTTTGTATTTCCACTGAATCTTTGGATGTGTTGTGTCCCTGTCCCTTAGATCCCTGCACCGTAGTGTCATTCAGCTTTTCTCCCAACTCCTGTTTGGATCTTTCTCGGTGCTTCTCTATGGAGCGTTCTCTAGGTTTTTCGTTCAACTTATCGTTTGATTTATCCCTTCGTTTTTCGTTCGATTTGTCTCGTGACTTATCATTCGATTGATTCCCAACACTTTCCTTAGGTCGATCTCCAGATTTTTCCCTTGGCTTAGATCTGGATCTCTCTCTGGTTTTTCCCCGCATCCTATTCGGCTCCCTGGACCGCTCCCTTGTCTTTCCTCTTTCGTGGAAATTGGGAAACATATTTCCTCGTTTTTCTAGCTCTGGCTCTTTGGAACGTTCTCTTGTTTTCCCTCTCGCTTGATCCTTTTCTGTTGGCCTCTCCATCGTTTTTCCTCTGGCTAGGTTTCTTTCCGGTGATCGTTCCCTGGTTTTTCCTCGAGCTGGATCCTTCTCTTTGGAGCGTTCTCTAGTTTTACCTCTTTCATTTGAGCCGGCTGGAACGGATGTTTTTCCTGGGAGCTGATGCTGTTCCCTTGAGCGATCCCTCGTTTTCCCTCTGCTTGTAATTCTTTCTGGCGTTCGTACCGCAGGGTCGTGCTCCTTACCCTTGGATCTTTCCCTTGACTTTCCTCTAGTGCGGCTTCGTCCTCTTGATTTATGGCGAATTTCTTTCGGGTTATGATCCTCCTCCCTCGATCTTTCTTGAGTTTTTCCGCGTTCTTGGCTTTTCTCCGGCTTGTCTGAAAATGTACCTTGAATTGAATCCTTTTCCTTAAAGCTCTCCTTTGTTTTATTTTTAGGGAGCTTCTTCCCTGGTGAACGCTCTCTCGTTTTCCCCCTCACTTCGCCCTTATCATTGGATTTGTCCCTCGTTTTACCTTTGCGATCCTTTTCCTTGGACTTTTCTTTCGTTTTCTTCTTGTCGGCCCTCCCTTTGGATCTCTCCCTGGTCTTTCCCCTACTGCGCTTCTCGTCCTTGTCTAGCGACTGCTCGGCAGGTTTATCCTTGACATCGTTGGCGGGTTCTTTGGGTTTGGTTGGGGCAGTATGCTTGCAGTCCTTGTGCTTGAAGTTATCGCATTCGGAAATCAGGTTGAACACGTAGGGAATAGAGGGCTGCAACGTCGTCCACCTAAAATGGGTCAAATGAATATATATACTATTTCCCACATGTCTATATGAAGTACTTACACCGTATCCGATTGCGGTCGTTTGGGACCGGCAGGTCCTTGAGGATCCAGAGGGGATACCATTCGGTTTGGAGCGGGCGGGCGTCCGAAAAAATGCGGTCTCATACCGCGAGGTCCACCCCTTCCCATTCGGGGCATAAATCCCATGCGCGGAAAGTCGTAGCATGGTGGTCGCATGTGAAATCTAAGAGGGCTTATGCCCAGAAATGGAGTGGGCGGAGGCTGTGGCAGGGCAGCGGCAGCAGCTTCAGCCTTCTTTTCCTTTCTAGCCTGCTGCACGTCCTCCACTTCGGTCTTCTGCTCTTCACCAGACGAATCGGTATCGGAATAAAGTCCCTCGCTGTCATCAGCGTCATTAATCTGACTCTTGGACGTCTCCAGCAAACCATTCTCAAGCCACTTGCCGTCCGGATCTAATTGGGTCAACTTGCGTAGGTTTTTGTTGGCCAGATCCTTGGCCACAAGCTGCTTGGCTGGATGGTGGGGGTGTTGCTGGTGGGGTGGGGTCACTACTTCGCCAGGTTCCAGGCTGTTGTTATCTTCCTCCAGGGGCTGTCTCACATGATCCACTGACGACTCGGCCTTGGGCTCTAGAGAACCCGCTCCTTCAACTGGCTGCGACATTTTCCAGCTTTGTTTCGCCTTTGTTTCCTTCCTATCGAATATTTTGCTTGTAGTTTTTGTTGTGGGGAGCGGACACACGCTTTTTCTTTCTCAATGGCGGCGCCGCGTTGGTTTTCCTCTTGCTTTTCCTTCTCGTTCTCCTCGGTGCGCTTTCCCCCGTTGACTGGTTCTATCGGTTGAAGGGGGCCGGGGGCGGCGGTCTGTTGCAACGGTGCACCACCTCAGCAGTTTCATATACCTCATGTACAGGAGCAGTTTTTATGCCATCATAAAAAAAAACAATTTGTGAAAAACCAAAGCTAAGCCGAAGGGATGTTGATAGAGATGGGCACCAGTGTGACCGCAGCTCGACCAATAAAAATACCAATGAGGGTCGAATGTGGCCAACTACTACGGCATCAAAGTGGCCGTATTTTAATTTTTTTGGTATTTTTTAGAGAAAAAGCTGACGATTTAAAATCAGCACTTTGAGCGGGAAAATGGATATAGTTTAAAAATAAAATTCTTTGCAACTATTATAATGTAAAAAAAATTTTCATTAAATTCTTTTTTATTATCAGCCATGAGAAAAGTTTAAAAAATTTTTATATTTGTGTTTTAGCATATAATAACAAAATCAATAAAAATATTTGCCATATGAGAGTAACAATACTTATAAGTAGGCTTTGGATATTTTTAAATTCATTTTAAATGTAAGGATCTTGTAACATTGACGTTCGTAGTTCATTCCGACCTCGCATTTCAAAGCGAGAACATCACTTATTTATTTTAAAGCTATATTTTTTATTTTATTTCATTTTCATTTGAAAATACTTTATTTTATTCATTTAATTTATTTGTATTATTTATTTTAGTTGGAAGGGGATCCCTTAGGAAATTTAACAAAAAATCTAAAAAATAATTTTCTCCCAGATTTTGATGCAGTTTGACAGAAAATCGAACTACAAATCGTTTAAGGTATCCCGCTTAAGAATCGGATGGATATTGGCCAAGATATGGGCTTCGCCATGGCTCATATTGGCCCTCCATGCATTTCCATCATTTTTGAAGGGGATCCCCCAGGAAATTTAACAAAAAATCTAAAAAATAATTTTCTCCCAGATTTTGATGCAGTTTGACAGAAAATCGGACTACCCCGCTTAAGAATCGGATGGATATTGGCCAAGATATGGGCTTCGCCATGGCTCATATTGGCCCTCCATGCATTTCCATCATTTTTGAAGGGGATCCCCCAGGAAATTTGACAAAAAATCTAAAATATAATTTTCTCCCAGATTTTGATGCAGATTGATAGCAAATCGATCTACAAATCGTTTAAGGTATCCCGCTTAAGAATCGGATGGATATTGGCCAAGATATGGGCTTCGCCATGGCTCATATTGGCCCTCCATGCATTTCCATCATTTTTGAAGGGGATCCCTTAGGAAATTTAACAAAAAATCTAAAAAATAATTTTCTCCCAGATTTTGATGCAGTTTGACAGAAAATCGAACTACAAATCGTTTAAGGTATCCCGCTTAAGAATCGGATGGATATTGGCCAAGATATGGGCTTCGCCATGGCTCATATTGGCCCTCCATGCATTTCCATCATTTTTGAAGGGGATCCCTTAGGAAATTTAACAAAAAATCTAAAAAATAATTCTCTCCCAGATTTTGATGCAGTTTGACAGAAAATCGGACTACAAATCGTTTAAGGTATCCCGCTTAAGAATCGGATGGATATTGGCCAAGATATGGGCTTCGCCATGGCTCATATTGGCCCTCCATGCATTTCCATCATTTTTGAAGGGGATCCCCCAGGAAATTTAACAAAAAATCTAAAAAATAATTTTCTCCCAGATTTTGATGCAGTTTGACAGAAAATCGGACTACAAATCGTTTAAGGTATCCCGCTTAAGAATCGGATGGATATTGGCCAAGATATGGGCTTCGCCATGGCTCATATTGGCCCTCCATGCATTTCCATCATTTTTGAAGGGGATCCCCCAGGAAATTTAACAAAAAATCTAAAAAATAATTTTCTCCCAGATTTTGATGCAGTTTGACAGAAAATCGGACTACAAATCGTTAAAGGTATCCCGCTTAAGAATCGGATGGATATTGGCCAAGATATGGGCTTCGCCATGGCTCATATTGGCCCTCCATGCATTTCCATCATTTTTGAAGGGGATCCCCCAGGAAATTTAACAAAAATCTAAAAAATAATTTTCTCCCAGATTTTGATGCAGTTTGACAGAAAATCGGACTACAAATCGTTTAAGGTATCCCGCTTAAGAATCGGATGGATATTGGCCAAGATATGGGCTTCGCCATGGCTCATATTGGCCCTCCATGCATTTCCATCATTTTTGAAGGGGATCCCCCAGGAAATTTAACAAAAAATCTAAAAAATAATTTTCTCCCAGATTTTGATGCAGTTTGACAGAAAATCGAACTACAAATCGTTAAAGGTATCCCGCTTAAGAATCGGATGGATATTGGCCAAGATATGGGCTTCGCCATGGCTCATATTGGCCCTCCATGCATTTCCATCATTTTTGAAGGGGATCCCCCAGGAAATTTAACAAAAAATCTAAAAAATAATTTTCTCCCAGATTTTGATGCAGTTTGACAGAAAATCGGACTACAAATCGTTTAAGGTATCCCGCTTAAGAATCGGATGGATATTGGCCAAGATATGGGCTTCGCCATGGCTCATATTGGCCCTCCATGCATTTCCATCATTTTTGAAGGGGATCCCCCAGGAAATTTGACAAAAATCTAAAATATAATTTTCTCCCAGATTTTGATGCAGATTGATAGCAAATCGATCTACAAATCGTTTAAGGTATCCCGCTTAAGAATCGGATGGATATTGGCCAAGATATGGGCTTCGCCATGGCTCATATTGGCCCTCCATGCATTTCCATCATTTTTGAAGGGGATCCCTTAGGAAATTTAACAAAAAATCTAAAAATAATTCTCTCCCAGATTTTGATGCAGTTTGACAGAAAATCGGACTACAAATCGTTTAAGGTATCCCGCTTAAGAATCGGATGGATATTGGCCAAGATATGGGCTTCGCCATGGCTCATATTGGCCCTCCATGCATTTCCATCATTTTTGAAGGGGATCCCTTAGGAAATTTAACAAAAAATCTAAAAATAATTCTCTCCCAGATTTTGATGCAGTTTGACAGAAAATCGGACTACAAATCGTTTAAGGTATCCCGCTTAAGAATCGGATGGATATTGGCCAAGATATGGGCTTCGCCATGGCTCATATTGGCCCTCCATGCATTTCCATCATTTTTGAAGGGGATCCCCCAGGAAATTTAACAAAAATCTAAAAATAATTTTCTCCCAGATTTTGATGCAGTTTGACAGAAAATCGGACTACAAATCGTTTAAGGTATCCCGCTTAAGAATCGGATGGATATTGGCCAAGATATGGGCTTCGCCATGGCTCATATTGGCCCTCCATGCATTTCCATCATTTTTGAAGGGGATCCCTTAGGAAATTTAACAAAAAATCTAAAAAATAATTTTCTCCCAGATTTTGATGCAGTTTGACAGAAAATCGAACTACAAATCGTTAAAGGTATCCCGCTTAAGAATCGGATGGATATTGGCCAAGATATGGGCTTCGCCATGGCTCATATTGGCCCTCCATGCATTTCCATCATTTTTGAAGGGGATCCCCCAGGAAATTTAACAAAAATCTAAAAAATAATTTTCTCCCAGATTTTGATGCAGTTTGACAGAAAATCGGACTACAAATCGTTTAAGGTATCCCGCTTAAGAATCGGATGGATATTGGCCAAGATATGGGCTTCGCCATGGCTCATATTGGCCCTCCATGCATTTCCATTATTTTTGAAGGGGATCCCCCAGGAAATTTGACAAAAAATCTAAAATATAATTTTCTCCCAGATTTTGATGCAGTTTGACAGAAAATCGAACTACAAATCGTTTAAGGTATCCCGCTTAAGAATCGGATGGATATTGGCCAAGATATGGGCTTCGCCATGGCTCATATTGGCCCTCCATGCATTTCCATCATTTTTGAAGGGGATCCCCCAGGAAATTTGACAAAAAATCTAAAATATAATTTTCTCCCAGATTTTGATGCAGATTGATAGCAAATCGATCTACAAATCGTTTAAGGTATCCCGCTTAAGAATCGGATGGATATTGGCCAAGATATGGGCTTCGCCATGGCTCATATTGGCCCTCCATGCATTTCCATCATTTTTGAAGGGGATCCCTTAGGAAATTTAACAAAAAATCTAAAAAATAATTTTCTCCCAGATTTTGATGCAGTTTGACAGAAAATCGAACTACAAATCGTTTAAGGTATCCCGCTTAAGAATCGGATGGATATTGGCCAAGATATGGGCTTCGCCATGGCTCATATTGGCCCTCCATGCATTTCCATCATTTTTGAAGGGGATCCCTTAGGAAATTTAACAAAAAATCTAAAAAATAATTCTCTCCCAGATTTTGATGCAGTTTGACAGAAAATCGGACTACAAATCGTTTAAGGTATCCCGCTTAAGAATCGGATGGATATTGGCCAAGATATGGGCTTCGCCATGGCTCATATTGGCCCTCCATGCATTTCCATCATTTTTGAAGGGGATCCCCCAGGAAATTTAACAAAAAATCTAAAAAATAATTTTCTCCCAGATTTTGATGCAGTTTGACAGAAAATCGGACTACAAATCGTTTAAGGTATCCCGCTTAAGAATCGGATGGATATTGGCCAAGATATGGGCTTCGCCATGGCTCATATTGGCCCTCCATGCATTTCCATCATTTTTGAAGGGGATCCCTTAGGAAATTTAACAAAAAATCTAAAAAATAATTTTCTCCCAGATTTTGATGCAGTTTGACAGAAAATCGAACTACAAATCGTTAAAGGTATCCCGCTTAAGAATCGGATGGATATTGGCCAAGATATGGGCTTCGCCATGGCTCATATTGGCCCTCCATGCATTTCCATCATTTTTGAAGGGGATCCCCCAGGAAATTTAACAAAAAATCTAAAAAATAATTTTCTCCCAGATTTTGATGCAGTTTGACAGAAAATCGGACTACAAATCGTTTAAGGTATCCCGCTTAAGAATCGGATGGATATTGGCCAAGATATGGGCTTCGCCATGGCTCATATTGGCCCTCCATGCATTTCCATCATTTTTGAAGGGGATCCCCCAGGAAATTTGACAAAAAATCTAAAATATAATTTTCTCCCAGATTTTGATGCAGATTGATAGCAAATCGATCTACAAATCGTTTAAGGTATCCCGCTTAAGAATCGGATGGATATTGGCCAAGATATGGGCTTCGCCATGGCTCATATTGGCCGTCCAT